AAGCCGCGCCAATGTTTGCCAAGTTGCAGCGCCGGTTTACTCGGTCCTCGAGTCACCGTCCGTACGCACCGCACGTGCGACGACTCGGCGAGTCGCGGTACCGGCTCTCCGAAAGAGAGAGAGACGCGAAGAGCCGGTCTTTTCCTGCTTCCGCGTCGGAGTCTGCAATTACGATTTTTCACAAGCCGGATGAGCGTCTAAAAAGAAGAGAAATGCGCAGTTCATTTTAATTGACCATGGTGACACGCGGCCAGAGAATCGCGCGCTAATCCCGCTAACTCTTCGGCGATGTTGTTGCCGGTCCCCATAAATATTGCAACGACGTAACGGAGGTTCCGCTTCCAACGACGTTCGTTGGTGCCGTTGGAAGACCTACCTACATCGTCCCTCCGCGCCTTGCACCGAAAGTAACGCCACGAGGTAACGACTTAACAGCGGCGTCCCGATTCTCACGAGACCTTCGTGGCGGAGTGGCACGTTCCGACACGCCGATCTGATAGTGCGGCCCGCTCTCGTGATAAGCGATTTTCGTTTAAAACCTCGCCGGGCTCCGTGCCGGCGAATTCGCCAGCCGTACCGAGACAGGAAGCGTCCGGGGCTATTGATTTTAAACCAGGAGCGTACGCCAGCCGCACTTCTGGCCCGACCCAGCCCGCATTTCGTGCCTTATTAGCTTTGCCACAATGAGAACTTGAAAAGAAGTGAGGGAAAGGGGGGATAAGATGACGGTTTCTAATTTTGCTAATCTAATAACAAATAAAAAGTCAGTGCCCGACTCATCGAGGGTTTAAGTAATAATAAATAATTTGTTATAGTTTAACTTCAATCTGTCAACGATAGTAGATAATATAATAAGAAATATATTTTAAATACACTCATATATAATTTTGTGATATTTCTTCATAAAGAATTGCACAATTATAGTAAATATTTTCACTTTCTCTATGAACTACTGTATAGTATACCTAAAAACGTATATAATGTATTATTATTTTTCATTTCTCATCTTCTTCTTCTTTTAATGCCATACCTGTGTTCAGGCGTAGGCGACCTCTCTCATTTTTCATATTGAAAAATTTTTTTAAATTGGATAAATAAATATAATGATTATAGGATAAGATAATATGTCACGTGTCAATATCATGTGCGGATAAGATAATACGTGTTATTTTATTTTAAATTATACAATTATAAATAATTGTTTATATTTTTATTCTTGTCTAGATTTTTTTTCTTTTAGTTACATTATTACAAATTATATTTTTTGTTCATAAATATTCGTATTCGCACTTTATTTTATTTATATTTTATTGTGTTGTACAGACATTATAATAACAAAATAATATGAAAACTTTGAAAATAATTTTTTCTATATAAAAAAATTTATTTTTAACCATCGTCTTACATATGAAGGAAAGATGACAAGATGGATATGTTCTTAAAAAATTTAAATACAAATGTTTCAATTTATTTATGAATTTTTCAATTAATACAGATGATAGACACAATTTTACTCGGCAAAAAAATTGATCATTATTTTCACGTTACTACAAAAATGGAAAAAAACGATAAACCTTAAGATCATCATCTTATCTCTCTCCCCCCTTCCTTGTTCCGTTGTTTTTAGCGATAAACCGTGTGCTTTGCGTAATTTAGAAACTCAATAATCCTTCGCCTGAGCAGTGAAATGTCATCAACGTGTTATGTATAGATAAATATAAGAATGCCACGCTGTCTTTTTATTGCAAATCGAAATAAACTTTTTGATTGACCTGACAGAAGCTCGTCGAGCAACTTAAATGCATTGCCTCAATTAAATTCGCGTGCCTTATTTTAATAAAATCGTTCTCGTCGGTTTTGAATCCGCTTTGGAATATCGCAGACATCGCGACAATATATATCAACGCATTGGAACTTCGAATACCAGTTACGACGTTACTTTGCATACGAGGTCGATTTATATTTAAATAACGTTCCTCGACACGACAGGATCGCGCTGACGGGACTTAATGGGACTCGGGTGATGCCGAAGTACTCTCTTGCGAAGATTTCACTTGAAAAAATCGGAGAGTGCCGCTCGCGCACACACACGCGAACTCGCGCGTTGCTTATTTTAAGACAGCGCACAGCCGAAAATACCAGCGCGAGCGCCGATCTCTAACACATGAAACGCAGATGTTCCCGGCCTCACTCGCTAATAACACGCCGAGGATGACAAGGTCCTTCCACCCACGTAGATTACATCTGCGGGGTTTCGATGACATCCCCCGGTCTCGACACGGAAAAATCGAAGGTCGACCATTCGTTACTTCTCGGTCTTCTCGTGAAGTCAAGTCCTTCACTTTGTACCCACGCGTTCACGCCTTACATGTACGCTTTTGTGAGAAAGCGCGCATCGTCACCTCGATCCAGATGTTTTCGTCGTTATGTCAGTCCTTTTTAAGCTTATTATTCCATATCACATAAAAAAGAAAGATATTTTGATATGCCGAGAAAGAAATATTTAGTATTTATAACTATGATCATCACAATGAAAGAATTATAATCGGAAGAATCGGAAGAAAGAATTATAATCGAATTCGAGTGATTTCTCAACTGTCGTCGTAAATATTTTCTCTGGAAACCGAAGAGTGAATCTGATGTATTCCACCATGACGGGAGCAAATTTACCCAAATCGATTGAAACATTCACTCGTCACGAGTCAGAACTCTAAGCTCGAGTGAAATACTGACTTTGCGATTTCGAGTGGCGATATTTTCACTACTGCCTCGAGCGAGGATACCACTTTTCACTCGCTTATAGTGAGACTCCGCCCTAAGAAATCTCGAGAGAAGGCACGGCCGAAAAATAAACTGAAGGAACCGCACAGATTCAAGAGGAGATCACGGAATTTTACTCGAGCGACTCTCCTCGGCTGTCGAATTAATTGTCGGCGCGAAGCAACGAAGAGTCGATTAGGATCAGTGACGCCGGAGCCTCAGGGCGAAGGGTAGCTTAGAGTCGTGCGTGGATCGACAGGGTCCCTCGGGGTGGAGCTCGGCCGGAAAGGCTCGTCGTGGGTGTCGACGGCAGCCTGGCTGGCCTCATGAGACACGAAGAGGTTGCGACTCGCCGGCATGTTTCATAGACGCAGCGGGAATCGTTCCCTTCGCCCCGTCAGCGTCCTCACTCTTTTCCGGGAGAGTTGGTTTTTTCACGCTCGCGGCAGGCCGACGAGAGTCCTTTGAAGGGATGCAATGTAGCGCAGGTAGCGAACGCCGGTAACAAGCCCCGCGTCGGCGTGGCATATGCAACCGCCGGCTCTCCCCCGCTTGCAATTTATTCCTCCAGGAAGATAAAGATCACGTACCCAGTGTGTGTGTGCGCGCACGCGCGCGATGAAACGAGGAGGATGCGGCTGAAAATTGCGTCGCGTTACGCTTTTTTCTCCTCTTCTTTCATCCCGATCGCTCGCGCGCGGCGATCGCGCTTATCGACACCGGACACGTCGATTGAATTGAAACGCGCGTTGACTTATTTACGACCCACTCTCGCTCCTCACGGACCCTCCGCGGCCGAATTTTCAGCCCACGAGATGAAGCCCCTCGTTAACGATGTCGACGATTTCCGCTAAGAAGAATTTCACCCGGGTCGTATCTGAAATTTTCGAAGCGAATAATTCAACATTTCCGAACCTTTTTCTTTTCATTTTTGTTAACTCTTGCAAGAGAAAGTGGAGTAGTATGACGTAGACACAAAAGGTGGGGTCATGAATGATCCAAATATATGCATTTTTTTTTATTGAAACAAGGGCACAAGAATAATATGGAATAATAAACAAGAATATGTTTTTCACAAATATTACAATGAAGGAAAAGGTGGTATTATGGCTTCCCCTTTATATTTTGTACAATAACTTTGTCAACAATTAATATTTTAAATTGAGAACTGAACGATTACATTCGTCAAAGTGTTGATCAATCAATTCTAAAGATCCAAAGTTATGGAATATTTATTACATAGAGCGTTATTTATAAAAATGTGACGACACTGTATAAAGGTTGAAGAGAAACAGGGGGTGGTAATGTGACCTCCAGCTAAAATTGATTAAAAAATATATATTTTTTTAATAATAGCGTTTTGTTACAAAATTATATATTCAAATAATGTTTCAATAATAATAAAATAATAATAATGTTCAATAATAATAAAATAATAATAAAATATTCAATAATAATGTACCTTGAAAACCTTGAAAACGTTTCGAAATGCTCGAAACTGAAAATTCGTTACAACAAATGCCGGCTATTGTGTATTAGCATGTTAGCGCTACTACGTAACGGCGGGCTACGAAATAAATAATTCTCTAAGTAATCATTAGAATTCGCCATCTAATGATGGAGATGTTAAGAGGAGCCGTAATACCTACAAAAACCATAATACCACCTTCTCGTCTAATATATAATAAATAAACGCTTCTTGCTGGGGACATGAATGACCTTGCCTAGAGAGAGTTAAAAAAGAGAAGCTTTAATGATTTCTAACGAAGCGCTTATCAGTCGCTTTAATCACATTTCGATCAGTGCTAATGAAAACTAGTCCGAATTGTGTTTGCGCGCGCCAGTACGCTGGTGCTGTGTGAACGAGAAAAGGATTCGAAATTCTCGAACTTTTCCTTATTTGGGCATGAAATGCAGATGTATCGCCGGCTTATTGGCTCACGCACATCGCACGTATACGCTCTAAATCCAGCATTGGCGGAAGTGCGTGAACCGTCGCGCTCATACCGCGCTGATTGATATACCGTAGTACACACGACGATGCGCGCACATTAATCGCGTATGCCGGATGTCGACCTCCACTCGCGTACGGTGGTACAACATCAAGGACAGGGCGAATCGACGATGAAAAAGGTCCCGATTAATCGCCGAATTACTTTGATTAATCCACCGCTCATATTCTCTCGTTGGACCTGATGTGTTAATTCATGAATCAACGCGAACGTTATGTTCTGTTTCAGAGCGCGCAGAACAGACTGCTAATTAAGAATGGCAAGGTCGTCAACGACGATGGAATCATCGACAGCGACGTCTATATCGAAGACGGCATCATCAGGTACGCCGGTCGTGGGATTAATTTCCGCGACGAGTACGCGCAATCTTCGTGATTTGCAGTCGCATTCCGGACGTGCATTGAATGCTAGATGTGTCTTTTTGATTCCTAAGCTGAAACAATATGTTATGCGTGACACTCATGTAAAAAAAACGGAACTTTGAATAAATGGACGTACTTAGCGTTCAGAATGAAGCTTCTGCGCGGAAAAGACAATTCCGTTAGTGTAACTGCATTTTCCGTTATTTGGAGACCGGACGGAAGCTCGATTGTATACATTGTGGGATAAAAAATATCTATATTAAAAGAAAAAAGTGCTACATTGAAGTAAATATTCGCTAAGGAGTATTGGATTAATTATTTTACTCGGATTAAATAAATATTATTTGAATGTAGCACTAAAAGGAAAAAATGTTACATTCAAGTAATATTTATTTTATAATAAAATAATTATTCCAATGCTTTTTAACAAATATTTATTTGGATGTAACACTTTTTCAACATAAGACATAAAAAATATTTATTTAGCGAGTGTTAATAATGTATTTATTTATACTAATATATATGTTTTTAAGCCGAAGAATTTTTTTTATGAGAAAGTACATCATTTTAAGTCTGTTGATTTTCATGGAAATAATAATTTATTATATTTAAATAAAAGAATTTAGATTTCATCAAATAGTTATCAACATCCATCGAATAAATATTTTTTATCTTTTACATATTTTTTCCTTCAGAGTAGAAATGAAAAGATTCCTTGGGAGGTTTCTGCTCCCACAGTCGGTCGCTCTCGATTCTTTCAACCGAGTTTCAATGCAGCTGAATGTTCACACGAATGTTCTCAGTCGCGATAACACACGTTATGAGAAAAAAAATTGCTTGAATTAATGTGACAATGAACGAATTAAACGCGTTTTAATTGAAGGAAGCAGAATTTCTGGTTGTAAGAATCAAATTTCATATAAGAAGCTAAAATTCTGTTCCCTTCGAGCCGAAATGCGTTCGATTCGTTCATTGTCACGTTAATTCAACTAATCTTTTTTTCTTCATGTAAAGATCAATTCTTGTCACCGAGTTCTTATTTCTCGTCAGTTTTCGTCTGGTCTCTATTCAGTTGCAGGAATTTTATTCCACGTAAAAACACGATGCGAACGACGAGCTCCTGACTCTCACTGATGCACTGAAAAATGAGTGGTTCTTAACCCAAATTTAGTTCGTGAGGGCTTGAAATTTTGTCATCTTTAGCCGAAACGCGTTCGGTTGTCCATTTTCAGATAGATTCAACTAGACTCATTCTTCAATGTGCGCCAATCGTCATTTAGGATGGACTCCATCAGACGTTTCAAGGCAATCTAATTGTATAACTATATAATTAGTTCTATATATAGAGAAAAACGCTTCGGAGCCGATGATGCGTCTAACAGATTGCGCTGTTGGCTCACGTGCCTGACCGGCACTTTGCACAAGCAACGCGCAATATGCATTACGTGCAGGCGGTTTTATCAGTCGACACTGAATGAATCAGAATAGATAGCGCGTCTACGGTCGCGCAGTGATTTATCAAACGAGCGTGACTGTAACCGGGTGGTGACGGGCTCTCGCCGAGCTGTCAACAACCGACGTGACCACCAAAACGTCTCGAGTGCGTGACATCTCGAAGGAGAATACCATCGGCGCAAGTGAGAAGGTGGTCCTTCCGGGAGATGGTCACGCTCGCGTCGTTCCGGTCGAGAACGGAATTGAGAGATGCGACGGAGTGTAGAAAAGGTATCCGTTTCTGCTTGCAGGCAGATGGGACGCAATCTCATCATACCGGGCGGCACGAGGATCATCGACGCCCGCGGCAAATACGTAATGCCCGGCGGCATAGACCCGCATACTCACTTCGAATTCGAGTTTATGGACACCAAGACGGTGGATGATTTTTATCAAGGCACGAAAGCCGCGGTCGCCGGCGGCACCACAATGATAATCGACTTCGTGGTGCCGAGGAAGGAGGAGAGCCTCGTGGAGGCGTACGAGAGGTATCGGCAGAACGCCGATCAGAAAGTTTGCTGCGATTACGCGCTGCACGTCGCCGTCACCTCATGGAGTCCGAAGGTAAATTCATCGTCCATCGGATGAGTGTAAGGTTCTTCAATTGAAATCAAATGGGTAAATGTAACAAGGACAATAAGAGACGCTCTTATTATACAGGTTGAGGTAATAACTAACTACCGTCTTGTGAACATCTTCGAGAGATAAGAATGTTTTTCAATATAAAGAATACAAGTATTTTGTTAACGACCAGATGAAGATGAACAAAAAATCGTATCTGCGGAAAATGTTCTCGAAGTGATGACGATTGATATCGATGTGATAAATTCTTCTGGATACATTTTCCTCTTGCTCTCATATTTCGAATAATGAGAAAAAAAGTAGTTGGATCGATAAAAATTGGCAGGCATCTTTATTCAAAAAAATTATTGTGTCCACTTAACAAATTATGCGTTGGAACAACAATATGTTGCATTGCTAGCATAGTTGACCAAGATTAGTGTCCGCTTCACGCTGCAAACGCTTCAGAGCGCTTAGAGAAAGAATATGATTGATCTATACAGCGCTTTTTAAATCAAATGGACCTTAGCCTATATCGCAATCGTTGAATCAATTGATAACTCATCAAAGCAACTGTAGAATTTGTTCAGTGGACGAAACATTGTGCCTAGAGACATTTTGTTCGTTTGGGTAAAATCTCGTCGATTCTACCACTTGTATTTTCTCGGTGAAGATATTCAAGATGGTAAAATAGTTATCGCCTGTTATGGAAGATTTCCCTGCGACTTGTCCGCGCTTCCTTCGACGGCGAGCCAGCCGCTTTCTACGACTGACGCTGTGTCGCACTCGCTTTATATGAGATAATTGTGGTAACACGAGACATTCCTAGAAAAGAAAGCTCATACGGTAGTACCTATTAGACCTGACCCCTTTCTTACACGCCGCCGATCGCGTCTGAACGCATACGTTCTTCGCGGACACGTTCATCCGCGTCGCGGAACGCGTCGTGGTTGCGTTCACCAGGCGTCAATTGGCATTATGCGGCAATTTACGTAATTCACTGGCGCAATTGCGAGCAAACGTGAATGCATACGACGACGTCGGGGGGAGGCACATAAAATTAATCCAATTCCAGCTTTTGCAGCTTCCGGCCATTATCCGATAGAAAACAGCGTCCCGACCGACTCCTCATCGGATGTACTCTATTAACGATCCTTGATATCCAAAGCTGATTGAACGATGCGTTTCCTTTCCGGGAGATCAAAGTTTTACCCCCCCCCCCC